TTCCCCGACGTCCCCCGAAGCGGGCAGGACGCGGGGCCGAGTGTTCCCCGACGTCCCCCGAAGCGGGCAGGACGCGGGCGGCTCCTTCCCGCCACGCAGCGCCCAGAGCGACGGCGACGCCCCGCTCCGGCCAGAGCGGCCAGGTGCAGCTCAGAGATTTAAAAACGACAGCCCTGGGGCACCTCGCCACCGGCCCCGAAGCTGTGTTAGGTTTGCAACATTTAAAGCAACTTTTCGGAGATTCTTAGACGTGCAGGGGGTCTCAGTGGCAGTGACAGGAAACCCGCACGCGGCGGGCGCGTGGGTAAATCATCAGCTGCTTCGTTTCCAAAGGGAAACGCGCCAAGTTTGCGGTCACGGCCGCCCGCGGTCGCGGTCAGCGTGGGCTCCAGCCGCCTGGGTCGCTCAGACGCCAGCGCCACGCAGTAAGCGAGCAGCCCCGGGTTTGCATCTGCGGGTGGCAAACTCGGGGAACCGCGGCTGTGGGGGGCCGGGTGGCGTCGTTTCTGGCCTTTCCTATCAGCGACTTGAGTGTCCTTGGAGAATGGCATCCACGGGGGCCTGGGGGGACCGCTGAAGTTTGGGGTGTCAAGAGCTGTAAGTGGATCTTCGACTGTGGCGGGGCGCTGGCACCGGCCGGCATTGCTCGAGGGTCACTGTACACTTTTGTGAGTCCTGCATACCTTACTCAGCTAAATCTAGAGCTAAAAGCCCTGCAGTCCCCACCCTACTCTGCGGACCCTGCTCCACTGAGGACAAAGCCGGACGGAGGGCAGGACGGCTCAGCACCAGCCTTTCTCTCCGGGGGGTGGTCCGCTTGGGCCGGGCGAGCCTCCTGCTTAACTAAAGTGGCTGCCTAAGGGTATTTTGAGGTGATTTCAAAACCAAGCCCACCAGAAAATAAATCTTTACAGTAATTTCCTTTCTGAAATTTCCTAGATCGTATTTTTAAAGGAAAAGTTTTTTTTCTGTTTTTTTTTTCCTCTTCCATTTTTATTAATCTGGATTAAAGAAGAGCACACATCCCATTTATTGTCTGGATTACAGATTCTGATTAAACAAACCAGAGCTCATTATAAAATCAATATCAAGTTCACCACTGTGCCCCGGGGACGGACAGCAGAAAGGTCACTCCAAGAAATTCAAACAGTTTTCCTGCTGGAAGGGCATGATTTTAATTACAGATACTATTAATTAGAGCTGTCACTGGGAAGACTTTTTTTTTCCTGTTAATTATCACAAACTCAGGTCTAAGTATGCGTTTTCAAACTGTATTTTTGTCAAAATCAGTCATCATGCGAGCCCAACCTTTCCGTTCGATCAATATTTTATGGTTGAAATTCAAAGTGTATCAGAGGATGCCACGCTTTCTAAAACCTGCCCGTGTGTGATCTGCCTCTCACACGCGGAAGAGAACGGGTGTGATAATTTATTTATGTCCTGGCGCAGATGTGGCCCCCAGGACCGAGCATCCTATGCTGACGGTCCCACTCAATAGAATTTCTGGGTAAATTCTCACTAGTTTAAGTGACATTTTTTTCCAGGCTGCTTCTTCAAACGCGAGTTTGCGTTTGCTTTGAGGAGAAGCTGCACGCGGGGTCTGAAATGCCATCTCACACACGTTTGAAGCTGCCATTTCTTTGTGAGAAAAAGATCGCGCTGACCAGGCGGTGACCTCCCCCAGGACACTAGAGCTTTTCCGCATTCAAAGGCAGGACCGAGGGTTTTGAAATGGGGAACAAAGCTGCGTCCTGGTCCCCTTTAAGCACTGGGGCTTTATAAACTCATCCCCGCTCCTCGCGTGGGGCAGGGGCAGGGGCAGGGGCAGGGCAGCTGGGGCGCTTCCCGCGAAGAGCCTGAGAACGCCCCGCCCCCCGTAACTCCGGCGAGAGAACAGAAACAGCGACTTACGCGCGGCCGGAAAGCGTGACGTAGTAGGTACAAGACGGTCCACAGTCACGTGCCTGGAGAGAGCAGCGTCTCCTCCAATGGGGAAAAATCTTTCATAAATACGTCCTGATTAAGCTTGCAAATGAAGCAAAATGATGAGGTAAATCATTTCACTTTCCCAAGTGAGAAAATATGCTTGGAGCCAAGCGGTATTTTCTGTCCAGGGAAACCGGGCGGCCTGACCGGACTGCGCCGTGGGCTCGCGCTGCGGTTCAATCCGAAGCCGGTTTCACTGCGGACACGACTAAACCGCTGCCGAGCTGCAGTTTTTATGTCCGACGGGTCTTAACCTGCCTCTGCCCATGCCCATCGGTGTCGCTCATGCTCCTGTGTCACCGGCACGCAGCGGCCACCATTGTTCCCATGGCGACGTCGTCATTGTACTTCCCACTTGCGACATTAGATTCCACTTTATCCGAATAAAAGCAGAAGGCAGCAACGGATCGGGTCAAAGCATCTGGTCTTATGAGACCCCAAGGAAGTTGGTGGCTTAAGGGACATCTTCAAACACCTACACAACCAATATATCTTGCAACTCTGGCATTTTCCATTAGTAGTTGCCAAACTAAGAAAGATAACAGATGATTCATAATTCATGCCTTGTACTTTTTCCGTGGCTCTAATTAACAACCCCCTTTCACAGCTAACACGAGACTCTCCAAGAACAGCACATGGATACAGGGCCGCGAACGCTAACGAGAAGTTTCAAGTTGTCCTCATACAGTGACCCGAACTAGGAATAAATGAACAAGCGCCGGGAGCCAGGGCAGTGCCGGCGAGCCGGGTAATCAGAGCAGCACGTAAGGGAGGAGTCGCTTTACCTGGTAGGCGGCGGTGGCATCTGGGCCGGGGTCCCCCAGTCCCGACAGCTTCTCCTTCAGCCGGGAGCGTGAGCTGTGACGCAGGCAGTAGACGGCTCCGGAGGCCAGGAGGACCCCCACGATGGCGGCGATGGACACCAGGGTGAGCACGACGAACTTCGTGGAGTCCTCCTGCGCTGCCTGATGAGGCAGAAGCTTGATTTTGCTTTTCTGCAGAACAGGAGAGAGGAGCCTGTGAGGACCCAACGAATCCCAAGTCCTAAAACTGCCTCTTTTAAACGCAGTGAAGAGGCGCCGCCGGACAGCGCAGGACACCGCGCTGAAACCACGGCCTTCTGGAGCTGACCCTTCGAGCCAAGAACTTACTTCAGAATAGCGCACTGAAGCCCCCGCGTTCTCCAGAGAGAGTCAGGGGCTCACTTTTTTTTCCTTAATGGCGGCCATTTTCCAAACTTAACAATATATGCAGTGTTTGGCGGCTGATGGAAGGAAAACGACGCGTCCGTCCCTTCTTTTAAACAGGTAGCAGGAAACAAGAGCAGCTTATCCAGAGCGGGCATCGCAGACTGGGGGGCATGGAAGGTCGGGGTGCGGTGCAGGAAGTCTTCGGGGTCTGGCCTTAGGGACACTGGGGCGGCGCTGCGGGGGTCTGGGTCCTGGAACCCCCAAGGCGCCCTCCCTGGCGCCACCCTGCAGTTCCCCCGGGACTGCAGGACACTGGGGACACGGTGGCCCGTCGCCATCACCCTCATCACCTCAGGGGGGTCCTTCCCGTGCGTTTCACTGGTCCTACCTCGGCCAGCGGGCCTGGCGCTCGCGTCGGCGGCCGGGCGCGAGGACGAGAAGGCGCCGGGAGCACGGAGGACAGAGGGGACGCGGCACCCCGCGCCGCCCGCGTCCCGCGTCCCGGGCGCACGGTGAGAACAATTAGCCAACTCCCGTCCACCCAATTTCGCGCGGCAACAAAATGGATTTTGCTCGCGAACGCGCGGCCGGCCTGTGCGTTATCGCGCTGCGCGGTGATTTCCTGCGCCGCACGCAGCTCCCAGCTCCGCGCTTCCTGCGTCCCGAGTGTACCCGGGGCCTCGGCGTCGGGCCGGGCGTTTTTATCTTGTAATCATAAAGGCCACCAAAGCAATTATCGCCGGTCTTGACTGGAAAAGCTGGTCATTAATTAGCCTCCTTTTGCCTTCGGTGCGCGGATTAGCTGGTGCCCGGGCTGAGTTAATGGAAACGCGGGTTAAATGAGAAAAGACGCCGGATTTTCTTGCCTGGATGCGCGACCAGGACGGCGCGAGGCTCCCAACGGCGAGAGGCGGCGGAGGGAGGAGAGGGGAGGGAGGGGGCGCGGGGAGGGGAGGGAGCGGAG